CCAAGGAGCTGAATCTATTTTATGGACATGGTTCACTACATTGGATAGCTCCTTGTCAAATTTGGAATAAATCCTGGCTTCACTTTCCCAATGTCTAAAGACTCCTGAGCAAACGTAAGAGTTGTGGAATCAAAAAGAAATTGTGTAATTGTCAGGTAAATGGTTAAAGAAGCAGAGATTATGGAAGGAAAAATGGTTAGTCTTACAATGGATAAATGTAAACACAGACCCCTAGGAATCACTGTTGGGGCCAATGCTTTTCAACTTGCTCATGAATGACCTGGAAATAGGGGTAAGCAGTAGAATGGCTAGAATAAAAACAGATAGTTAACACTTCAAAAGCCTCTCTCTAAACTGAGAGGATGGGCATTATAACTGTAAAGACAATTCAGTGTAAACATGTGTATGGTGATAAAATCAGGCTGAAAGGGAAAAAAAACACACACATTCTAGTCAGAATCCTGTTACATGCTGTTACGTGATGTCATAAACTAGATTTACAACTTTGTTTTACATTTACATTTACAACTGTGGCATCGTTGCCACAACCATACTCACAAACTGACCTTAACGACAACCAGCCCTACCAAAGAAAGGAGTTCTGTGTTGCTGGTGAGCAGAGCACTGAACAATATAATATCTCCTCCTTCCAGAGAACCATGGTGTGAAAAGGCTGCCTGACATTTAACATGTGCAGTTATAATATTACCATTTACATGTACCATTTCAGCCCAAAGCTTCCCCTATATACTGAAGGGATCTGAGAAGTTATTAACCAAGAAAGAAGCCTTTGGGCTACAAAGTTTATAGCTGTTTAGTTTACAATGGGGAAGTGAAATAAGAGAAGATAGCATAGGCATGTAGAAAATGAAGGATGGCATGGAGAAAGGGGAAACAGACCTATTTTCCTCACCTGTAGCCGTTGTTTGACTTTTCTGACAGAATCATGAAACTTCACTCTTGCAGATACTTTGCTTTCATTCTCTTGCATAACACTTGATTCACCTTCACCAATCTGCTAACACATTCAAACACACAAACTACATCAATAATTTGTTTCACCTTCTGATATTAACATAGACTTTACAAGAAATGGTGGTAATGGTGTAAACGTTGGCTTTTATCTAATTTTATAATTGCTCTGTTTCTAAAATTCTGCTCACTTTCACTTATGCTCATGCATTTTAATTTCTGACTCAAATTGCTTAAGTTGAATTTAGACCAGTGACCAATGTCCTTAAAGATTTTATGTGCATTGAATGTACTGCATACATTCCATCCAAATGTGGACTTGAAGTAATTACTGCAATTTATAAATAAAGTGAAAGATTGGATCCTACCAATTATGTATCAATTAGTCATTTACATTGTATGCTATTAAGTTGTACAGACAGAGTAAATTGTATGCTAGTCATCTT